AAGTTTGAGTTCGTCCAGCGATTTCTTCATGTCAGCCATTACGTTGTCAACCCGATGATTCACTTGGTCGATTCGGATGTTAGCTTCCTCCATTCGGGTTTCAGCTTCCCACAGGCGGTTGTCATTTTGAGCAACCCTATCCTTCACCTCCCTTATCTCTTTCCTGAAATTAGCGTGAATGTCCGTCACGAGGAGCATCTGTTCTGCCTGTCGGCGGGCCTGTTCCTCCTGTCGGCGAGCCTGTTCCTCCTGCTACTCTTTCAACCAACGGGCCTGTTCCTCCTGTCGTCGAGCCTACTCCTGAAGCATGACCATCAGAGCACTTAAGTCAGGTTCTGCAGATGTAGGAGCTACTGACGGGCCCGCAGCCGGCGGCTGGCCCTCCGACGTCTGTGGCGTTGCACCACCAAATCTTCTTTGGTCCGTCTCCTGCTGGTGTTGACTTCGGGTACGGACACCCTCCGTTTCCTCCATAGGTAAAATTCGCATGATTTTATCCCACTTCTGACACCAATTGTTACGAGTATAGGGTTCGTGACATTAAAAAAACTGCCGATTGAATTACCAAAATGAACACTTTAATTCCCTAACACCAATTAAAACTTAAAACACACTAATAATTAATCGCATTGATCACTTCAGTTCACTTTACCCCCTCGCCTTACCTTACTTCGCTTGTATCGCTAATTCAATACTGCCCCGATCGCGGCTTGCAGCGGCTTAAAATACATCTTTTGCACCGAAACATCCAGAATGTTCCAGCAAATACCGGTCCCGACTGACTAAATGCAGAGAGTTCGAGAGTGGACCCTCCTAGAAAGCTTAATTCTTGTTTCGATACTAGATGGCGCTGTTGGTGGAATTCCAGAAAGATCTTGACACTCCTATTTCTGATACTTGATACCAGATGGCGCTAGTGCCATCAACTGTGGCGCGCAACAATACTAAAGAAAATTAATATGATTTTTTAACATTGTTGCTGGTTAATATTTAAGGTTAAGAAGATAAAGATAAAGATAAAGATATTTATTTTGTAAAACATGAGTAAAAATACAGGTGTTACAACTTAAAACGAGCTACATGTTTTGCCATTTATGGCGTACAAAAATTATACTACATATATTAATTATTCTACAAGACAAATTAACTAACCCTATGTTCATAATTTTAGATGTGCAACAATTTCAATGGCGTCTCGTAAAATTGCATTAGAGAAACGTCACAATTCATAATTTAACTTTAAACAAATCAGTCACTTAAGAAATCAGGCAAGCTGTAATAATATTTGGCTATCAAATATTTTTAAGAATTGGTAGCTTAAAAAGTCTGGTAGGCAATTGTTTGATGTGTTTGGGGATTTTAGGATGCATCAATACCGTTCTTGAACGAACTGCGCATAACCTACTATTATCCCTGCGATTGCAAATTGTGACGTCCGATAGTTTGTTAAACAATTTAGGGTTACTTTGAACGAAGTTTGCTACTTCATATATAAATAAGGAGGGTAAGCTCAAAATGTTGTGCTCAATGAAATATGGTTTGCAGCTATCAGTAATTTTAAGACCGAACATAGCTCTGATGCACCTTTTTTGGGACTTAAATATAATTTCCTTATTAGTAGAATTTCCCCAGAATATGATGCCAAACCTCAAGATGGAATCAACAATACCATGATATGCCGTGAGAAGTGCATCGGTACTTACGACGGATGAGAGTTTATAGATCGCATAAGCAGAAGAACTAATTTTTTGTTTAGTTCTTCTGTGTGCACTTTCCAGTTCAAACTTTTATCAATGGTTACAACTAGAAATTGTGTTGTATCTACTTGGTTGATTTCTGTCCCTTGGTAATTAACGTTAATATTTGGTGTTGCTAAGCGTTGACTGAAGTACATAATTTTAGTTTTTTGAAGATTAATTTTTAAATTATTATTATTTAACCAGTTTATTATTAAATTAATTGTATTAATAATTTCACTTTCTTATTTATCCTTATTGATAGAGTTTATTGTTATCGTACTGTCATCGGCAAATAGCGATATTGGATATTTTGTAATTTTTGGTAAATCATTTATGTAGATGATGAACAACAAAGGACCTAACACACTCCCTTGTGGGACACCGTATTTAACTATTTGTTTGTTTGATATGCATATTTATTCTTTTTTGGTGTTAATATTTATTCTAGAAATTTCGGTATATTGTGTTCGATTTTTAAGGTAGGATTCCATGAGATTTAATACGTTGCCTCTGATGCCATAGGCTTCTAATTTACTGAGCAGAATGTCATGGTCAACATAATCAAAAGCCTGAGTCATGTCGCAATAGATAGCGCATACCGGTATCTTTTTGTCAACATTCATCATCACTCTATTTAAAAAAATCAAAAATAGCCATATTTATGCTGTAAGAATATTTAATTTTTCTAAAAAGTTATAAATTTCTAAATATATATATATATATATATATATATAGATGTATATACACATAAATATATATATAAAAATATATATATAGCAGTTCATATTTTGTTTGTCATCTTTTTTAAACAATGGCTTAACAATTGAATTTTTAAACTTTCGGGATAATATCCTGTGCTTATACAAATATTCAAAATAGGGCTGAGATGATCGCAAATGTAATAAGCAACATACTTTAAAAATTTAGTTGAGATCCCATCATGCCCTACACTTGTAGTATTTCTGAGTGATCTTATGATTTTAAGACTTATATCGTATGGTGTACTCGGTGCCATAAACAAATTGACAATATTTGAAGTTACTTGCTTTCCCGTGCCCGATATAGGTTTTAACTTATCTACAAAAAATTGTTAAAGGCATTCGTGATCTCCTGTAGACTAGTTAAAGTTTTGTTACCTACTTTTATGGAAGTTATCATATGCTTTGGCACATTCATTTTTGATCTATTTATTATTGCCCACGTCGCTTTAGATTTATTAATCGCCGTTTTTATTTTATGGTTGTTTTGAACTCGTTGTGTTAGTTGGATAATTTTTTATAAAGTTTAGCATATTTTTTTAATTTTATTTTGTTTATCTCATTTCAGTTAAGCCTATAGTTCCATATTAGCTCTCTTTTTTTTTTGCTACAAATTTTTATTCCACGTGTTAGCCATTGCGATTTTTCTTTAGTTCTAATGGTAGTTTTTTTAAAGGGAAACACATAAATTGTTAAGTTTAACTATCTATAAACGCATTGAAGGCTGTGTTTGGATTATCAGTATTATAGATTTCAGAGAAAAAATACACTATAAATATGTTTTAAATTTTTGAATATTTTCTTGACTATAGTCACGTCTATTTATTTGCCACTGGTTATGTATGAAAGTTTCATGAACCGGTAATTTCAATATTTGTGCTGTATGGTCTGATAAGCCAAAGTCTAATACATCGGATTTACACTTCTTTAGATTATGTGCAAAGTTATCGATGCACGTCATGCTCATAAGTCGCGTTGGCTGATTTATTTCCAATTTTAGATTAAAATTTAAGAGCAAACATTCCAATTCCATTAAAGTATTATTACGCTTAAGACAGTCAATGTTAAAATCACCTGCAATTACGACATTTCTCTTTGTTTTATTTCTATATGAAATGTATAGTAACAGCTTTTCCAATTGTTTAAAAAATACAGTTAATTAGTTAGACTTTGGTACCCTATAAATACAGACAACAATAGTTTTGTAATTAATTAAATCAATAGCGCAACATTCGAATACCCCATTTATGGAGAGTTTGGCTATATTTGAAATTTCTTTATACTGGTGAACTTTCTTTGTAAGAATACACGTTCCGCCTCTTTTACAGTCTTTTCGTGAGTAGGATGCAGCCAAAATGTAATTAGGGATTAACAATTGCTTTTCATGACCAGCCATAATAAAATGTTCTGATAGACAGATTACGTCAATTTCAGTATCTTTATTTGAAATTTCTTCAAGACATACAGTAAGCTCATTACTCTTGTTCAGTAAGCCAGCAATGTTTTGATAAATTAGATTCAGGTGCTTATAATAGAAAAAACTGCTCTGTTGTCTGTTTATTTTTTACCTCTTCAATTTGCTCACAATGTGCATTCGTATAGTGAGTATTATTCACATAGTTTATGAGCTCAGTGATGTCTTCGAAAATTATTTGCATGCCAAAATTATTTACTGTTCCGGTATTTTTTTGTACATTTTGGAATCCCATGTAAGGTTTTTGTTTGTGTCAACAAAAAAAAGCATGTTCGTGGGATAATATGTCTTGGTAAAGAAGATGATTAAAATGTTCTACTCTCCTATTATACATTGTTACATTACTTGCATATTTTGTACGTGGGCATGCAAAGTATAACGTTTGTATGTTGAATATTATTTAGCACTTTTCTTATGTTTGAAATTAAGCTCGAATACTCCTTGGTTGTTTTTAAGTCTGTCTCTCCAATTAAAATGATACAGTAGTCATCTAAAGTAAATTTTCTTAGCTTGGGTTCCAAGTCACGTATCATATTATTTATTCCAGCGTATGGCATTAGTTAGTGACATATTTCTGAGTTTTGAAGCTTACCTTCTGCAATTGTGCGTATTTTATTATATTCATTTTCACTAATAATGCATATCTTACTATTTTTTATTCTTCTCATGTACTGTTTTTCAGAGTGAGGTATTCCTGTTTTCACCACAGGTATTTTCTGTTCTACTGTCTCAGAAACCAAAACAGTTGTTTGCGAACGCTTATCATTCGTCTTTTTTTCAGTAATATTTAGTTGGTCGGTTTGTGTTTGTTTGCTTTGTGACATTTCGTTAATTTTTTTTGGGGTAGATTGTTTTTTCTTAGATTTTTTTTGCAGGGCTGTTGGTAATTTTTTTTTTAAAGTATAAAACCAAAACAGTTGTTTGCGAACGCTTATCATTCGTCTTTTTTTCCAGTAATATTTAGTTGCTCGATTTGTGTTTGTTTGCTTTGTGACGTTTCGTTATTTTTTTTGGGTAGATTGTTTTTTCTTAGATTTTTTTGCAGGGCTGTTGGTAATTTTTTTTGTAAAGTATATTAATCTTTTGAAGCTTCTCGTTTGACTGTTTTAGATTGTTGTTTTCTAATGTAAGATTACCAATTTCTTCCTCAGCACTACTTAATGGAAGAGTCAATTTCTCTACTTGTTTCTTTAAATTTGCTATTAATTCTTGATCATACGAGTCATCTTTACTCATATCTGGGACACTAGTAGTCGTGTCGTCCATTGTTTGACTTAGTAATTCGTTATAATATTGACTTACATTGATTTGTGAGTCTGATTTTGTGCGAGTACAACAAGTACGCCGGAGTGTAATATTTTCTAGGAAGTTCATCATAAGAAGTTATTAACGGTATGCTGCCACAAATTATTTATTGTTCTTATCCAAACTTTTTATTACATATCATTTAAAATAACAAAAATTGAATGCGTCCGATGTGGGATGCGAATTCGATACCTTAAGCGTTCTTCACCAAAGTCACCCATCATCATCATCATCATCATTACAGCCCTTCACAAGTCCACTGCTGAACATAGGCCTCCCCCAAGTAACGCCACAAAGCACGGTCCTGAGCCACCTGCATCCATCGACTTCCTGCATGTCTTTTCATGCGCCACCCATGCATCTATTAATAGCAGCGAAATTTGGTATTGTGTGCTTAGTCTTTATAAAAAGATCGTTATTTTCGTAGCGAGTACATAATATAATATTTTAAAAGACTGTGGTTATAGTTTTCACTTCGTACTTTTACTTATTTTTAATCACTCTTTTCCTTGTTTTGTTTATGAATTATGCTAGTATTTGATTTTCACAGGCAGATTGTTTTTTTTTAGGAATTCCTAGTCTTCTCAAGTTTAGACATGCGACACTAGATGTCGTTGGTCGTCGTATTGTGTTTATGATTGTTTACTTCACTCAGAGTTCAAAGTCCAAATAAATGATTTTGCATATTATCGCAGTATCCGTTATGTTAATTTAAAAAGTGAGCACTATTTACTGCACTGGGTGGGTCGTGTTTACACTAATAAATTTATTAAAGTGTTTTTTGCACTGTTCTTAGCCCGTCGGTTTGTTTTATAATAGAAAACTTAACTTGGATATGGAAAGTATTGGCGTACCTATTTTTCAATCTATCTGTACACTATACTTGAGGAATCATGTCACAAACACTGTCACTTGTTCATAATATTAACTAGGTTTAGTTTCACACACTTTTAACATTTAATATTATTGTTTACTATTACTTTTTATTTCTTACGGAGCGCTTGTTTATCTTGTTATCTTGTTATCTTTCATTCATGCAAACTTTTATAGTTTGTTCTTGGTACCATCTCTCGAATTCTATAAGTTTTCCTGGCATTTTCCTTGTTAATTTTATATTCCTCCTTATTATTCGTTTAATAATCGTCGCTGCTGCGCAATAGGCAATATGTAGGGGAGGCCAATATTTAGCAGTACTATAAATAGGCTGTATGAATCTAACGGACTGTTAATTAATATACATTTCCTTAATATACATACTTTTATATTTTTACAAATATTTTACTTATGAAATAATGATCTGTTTTAATACTATAGTTTTTCTTTGAATAAATTGGTTCTAAATTTATGAAGATGCTTTAAAAATAGGAAAAAATATATAAAAGCTTTCAAAGCAAGCCTAACGAAGGCATTGGCAATTGGAAGTACACCGGCTGTCGTTAGTTAATTGCATTTTTATATTCTCTTGCTGGTAAAGTGCTAAAGCTGATTTAGATATTTCTACGTCTACAGAATAAACTGCTTATGGTAATTTAGGTTATACACACTTACTGCAAAAATCAATTTACCTTCGCCATTTTAAAGATTATTAAATTTTTATTTGTGTCATGTCTATCGTCACGACAATGACCGCATTATTTTTTAATAAATTGATTATGTAACCGATCTGTGAATTAGCAAATATAGTGTGTCATCTACGAAAATTTAGGTGTTGAGAATTTCTGGAAATCATGTAACAAATAAAACTGTAGTGCCTCTCTACATTATTGAAATAAATGCATTTTATCGAGCTGATTATGTGCTTTTATTGAGATGAGCGAAATATTCGCTTAGTATTAGACATGAATAACTATTTTTAAAACTTCAGTCGGTCCGGCAGTTTGTCTATCATTCTGTCTGCATATATACCCGGGCAAATTTTTCGGATAGCAAAACCCATTGTAATGAAACGATTTCTGATATTTAAGCGAACACTACACATTTAAATAAAACTTTTTTTTAAAACGCTCTGGTTTAAATGACATAAACAAATTCATATACACATCATCCAGTGAATAAAATGCAGTTTTTACGACATTTGATTATAATATTCGTATTGAAACGTTAAATAAAAGAAAAATAAGTAAATATAATGAATGAAAAAACAAACATATAGAAAATAATCAAAAATTAACGACCAAATTAAATGGATTGACTCATATATTACGAGCGTAATTAAATATCAAACACTTGAGTTAACGTCAGATCGAGACACAACCATTGACCACAAACACGGGTCATAGACTAAACACGGTCTACAATCTATCAAAACAAACTATGAATGATGCAACTATTAGAGTATTATCGAAAGGAATGAATTTTGCAATAATTAACCGCAAGAATTAACGCACAAAGAAATTATACATCACTACTAACCGAATCACTCGTCACCTGGACTCAAATCAATCTGGAATCAAATAGTGACACTAGATGGAGTGACGACCTGTTAAGACATGCAGGAAGTCGATAGATGCAGGTGGCTCAAGTTCGCGCTTTGTAGCATTCCTTGGGGGAGGTCTATGTTCAGCAGTGGACTTGTGAAGGGCTGTAACGATGATGATGATATCATCTGCAGCATACGTTCTTCGAGTATCGCTTTGTATTTATTTTGGTCCATATTACCTTGTATCAGCCTAGTAGGCCCCATGCCTACCCAGAAAAGCAACCCACGTGGCATCATGGGTTTTTTTTGTATTTAGTATTCAATGCCTTTTTGATGGGCATACTTACTGCATACTATGTGTTTACAGTATATACTATTTATCTTGGTTTCGTCCGAAAGGGGTCAATTCTTCTACTACTGCTCTGACCAGTCTTGATACTTCCTTGCAAACGCTAGTCGGGCCTCCCTATGGTGTAGTGTCAACGTGAGTATCTTCCTCGTTACTATCCCAAGCAACTGTCTCCGCTAACCGTCTTCGAACAGAAGGCGCAGAGATTTCCCTAGGGTTAATCTCACCAAAAACTTTAATATTTATTTCATTTGAGCTTTAAACGGGTTCTGCTTGGCAAGGTGAGTCATTTCATAATCTTTTCGTGGAGAGATATTTTTTTGTTTTAGGTTTGCGGGGGATATTCGAAGTTTTCTGATGTGCCTCAAAGCCTAGTACACCAGCAATGTAAGATTTCTTTATTTTCCTTTTTTATCAAAAACAAAGCGCAGAAAACTTATATCAAAAATAAACACGAGTATAAACACGAAAATATGAGCGAAAATATAACAAAAATAGTAATGAAGAACGTCGCATTTCATTTACGAAATGATGAAAAAATAACAAAATATTTTCGTTCTTAATTATTTGTCCAGACAGTATTCCGACATTTTTATGAGTTCCTGTGATTTAATATATAGCAATATAATAAGGTACATTATTTTGACAAGATTATTACACTAATAATAACAATAAAAAAATTCTACAACACCATGAGATCTTTAGAAACAAATTGTGCACCGAAATTATGATGAAAACATAGTATTGGCTTTGTACTATTAATCGTTCATAATTCTATGACCACCACTGTATATTATGTTTTTGCGTATACTTACTCTGAGACACTGGCAGTAGGAACGTAACTAATGTATGTGTATGTTTTATTTTATATTATTATGTATATGTAACACATAATACATAAATTTTATTTATAGTACACGGTGACTAAAAGCCACGTTTATTGTACGCTATGTTTAAAGATTTTATAATTAAAAAAATTAAACATTTATTTACACAATACACAACAATAGAACTTTAATTAGTAACATCGATGAGAATACTTTAAATTACGAACAAAACATAAAATTATTTGAGAAAGAAATATAAAAAAATACTTTACATAAAGTGCTTTGTATTTTTTGTACATGATTAGCTTGAACTGTATTTTCTAAAGTACAATGATTAAAATCACAATTACTATTACTACCATTTACCGTCAAGAGAAATAAAAAGAAAGAAATATCACTGCTGCCTTGCTTGCTCTGACACGATTTTTGTCTTTATAATCATTTAGTATTCTACAATTTTTCAATAAAAAATTGCATTGAAGTAATATAATAATATTAATAAAATAATGTACGATACTTATGTAACTTCAAACAGTTAAATAATCGGCTACTTAAGTCATTTTGTATGGTAATGTACTTATTTATTCTACACTATTTCTCAATATAAACTTTAACTAGGCAAAATTGCACACTCACGCAAATTGCTTAAAAAGCCGTTACAAAATATTCTCTTCACGTATAGGCACTATTTTAAGATAACTCAATGATTAAAAAAATATTTTGGTCTCTTCGTTTATACTTTACCTCACGAAAGATATATTACATACACTTGCAGCAATCACTGAAGTCTTTCTTTACGCGTCAGAGCCACCACGGGTCCTTTTATGACACCATTTGCAGATATTGCTTTTGAAATCGAAAAATCTAAAGCAAGTCCCTTGGAATGAATGAAATCGCTTGCCGTATCATAAAAGAAATGAATTGCAGTTTGATGAATAATGATATTTAACTCTCTATACTTACCCTTTATTTTATATATTGAATGCAAAAAATGAAAATTTGAGATATAGAGATGAATGGAGACTTAAACATGAAATAATTATTTACTATTCCAATCATCCGTGAACTAAATGAAATTGGGAGACATTAATGACAATTTGCGTCCTGGTCGCAATCGGTGTAATCCTAAGAAAAAATATTTTAAAGAAAACGATATTTAAACTTTTTAATATATAAAATAATGCATTAAATAGTAAGCTTTAATACTACATGTTTTTTATTAACTTGCTTTCTTTGTGTTTCTTTCCGGTACAAAATTTGTAATCAACTTTTTAAGCACTTGCTTGAACCCCACTGAGCTGAAATTTTTCATACTAAAGTAACTTCGGTGACAATGCAATAAAATGGTACCGTGAATCTGATTTGA